GCTGAGGGACAGCGCCCAGACCGAGTTCAAGCCCCACGACCGACAAAAAGAAAAAAAAAAAAAAGAAATGAGGAAGACTTAGGAGTTGCTATTTAACAAATGAATCTTGATCAATTTCTCTCGCTCTCTATACAGTTGAAAAAGCTGCTGTGGACCCATCCCTGTTCTTGCAGTGTGAGACTGCTGTCTTTTAAACCTAATGCTCTCTTTACTTGTTTGACTAAGTCAGTGAGACTAGAAGGCTGAAGAGGGAAGGGATGCACTGGGGATCTCCTAAGGATGGCTGTTACATGCATAGGTGTGCTGAATGTTCCAACCAGTCTCACAACTACGGCCCCACCAGACTTGCCCATGTCAAGTACCAACTAGGGATCTAAGGTCCTCTTGGATTCAAGTTCACAGGTAAGCTGAAGGTTGGAATTCAGTAAATATGTTGGGTGGTATGCAGTATTTACATATGTATTAACTGAAATACGGTAGGTTCAAGGGATAACTCTTGAATCTACCACATCCTTCTCTAAGTTTTTACTGAGTTATTTTATTTGGAAGCAGGTATAGAATATGCAAAGTGCTGGGCGACGGCTCACCTCTGTAATCCTAGCTACTCAGGAGGCTGAGATCTGAGGATCATGGTTCAAAGCCAGCCTGGACTGGGAAGTCCTTGAGATTATCTCCAGTATACCACCAGAAAACTGGGAGTGGCATTGTGGCTCAAGTGGTAGAGTGCTAGCCTTGAGCTGAAGAGCTGAGGGACAGCACTCAGGCCATGTTCAAGCCCCACGACCGACCAAAAAAAAAAAAAAAAAAGCAAAGGAACACTGATCTCTTTAGACCATCTAACAGGTTACCTGGAGATCAGCCAATTGCCTTCCATCCCAGGCTAATCCACTCTTGAGTATCCTAGAACCCTGTAACAGTACAAGTGCACAGGACATGAGACTTGACTTGCCACTCCTGTTGTGTGACTGTGCATTTCATCTGTCAAAAGGGAACTATAAGCTGGCATCGACGGCCCACGCCTGTAATCCTAGCTACTCAGGAGGCTGAGATCTGAGGATCATAGCTCAAAGCCAGCCTGGGCAGGGAAGTCCTTGAGACTCTTATCTCCAAGAAACCACCAGAAAGCCAGAGCCTGAAATGGTTCTGTGGCTCAAGTGGTACAATGCTCACCTCAAGCTGAAGAGCTGAGGACAATGTCCAGGCCCAGAGTTCAAGCCCCACAACTAACAACAACAAAAACGGAACAGTACCCATCTCACAGAACCAGATATTGCTGACAGGATCACTAGCATTGGTGTTTTTTGTCAGCCACGGGGCTTGAACTCAGGGCCTGGGTGCAGTCCCTGAACTCTTTTGCTCCAAGTTAGTGCTCTATTACTTTAAGCCACAGCACCACTTCCAGTTTTCTGGTGGCTACTTGGAAGTAAAAGCCTCAAACTTTCCTGCCCAGGCTGGCTTTGAACTGTGATCCACAGATGTCAGCCTCCTTAAGTAGTTAGGATTACAGGGTAAACCACTGGTACCCAGCTGATCTTGGGTACAGCCTATAACCAAACCTCTGCCTCCTTAATAGCTGGAATTACAGGTATGCATTGGCTCTAACATAACCACTATGGATTAGCTATGTTTTCTGTTCCCATCTCATTTCACTGGGTGGTTCCAAGAATAAGTATGTGAAGTCAAATGAAAACAAGCTGAAGCAATCCAAAGGTTGAATGTTTTTAATTGTTTTTGCTAAGTAGCAAAATTTTAACTGTTTTCCTAATGTAAGAATGGATCCAACAGAGTGGCTAAGCCCTATAACCCATATAGCCCAAGGTGCTGTAGTGATGGGACTAAATGTGGACAAAAGGTCTTTACCCCTCAGTGACATCAAGCCCATGGACATCATCTACAGGACACCAACATACATGTATCTGTTGTGCAAGAATTTAAAGCCTTCTTGAGCCTTCAACACTGTCCAAGAGTATCATGTTCTGAGGTTATGGACTCTAGGTGTGCTAGGAGATAGGTAAAGGGCAAAACTTCCTTCCACATTGCACGAACTGTGGCTTGTAATGGGATCTAAGGAATGTAAGTCCAGACTCCCCTTCTTCTGCTGGCCAGTCCCTCAAAGGTGAAGTTCAGTATTCTCGCAGCTCCCCTGCCCCAGTTTTGGAGTTCTTCAATGTGTCAGCCTCATGGATGCATGTTATTCATGGACGCATATGGCATTTGCCACAAAAATAGTATTTTTTGCTTTTTCCTTGGTTCCCAACACCTGGGGTGGCATCTTCCAGGACCAGCTCACCCACCCCATTGTAGTTTAGGCTGTTTGAAGGGTTGTTCAGGGCTATCTACTAGTTCTAAATGATCTCTTCAAGCTTCACAGAGCCTCACAACCTTACTTCTCTCTGCTCTGCTCTTTTGATATGTTACAATTCTACCTATAAAACTTTCAAACCTCTGATCCCTGGATGCCTCTTTTCAGATTTTAAAATTTCTTACATTCACTAAATATTAGCCTTCTGAATTTCAGAATGCAGTTACCTACCAGTTAATACAAAATGCAGCCTCGTACTGTACTAATTACTGACAGCAGCGCCACAGGATGGAGGGAGGGAAGGCCTGCTGCTTAGAGAACCCTCTCCACTGCTATACATACACCTCTGACCTGCTTGCTCTGACCCCTGAACACCATGTGCTCCACTTGGCTCCACCGCTCTAAACTGAGCACTTGGGTTGCCTTATTCCTCACCTGACTAGAAATGTTCTAAGCACAGAAAGGAAAGCAGCCTGCTTATAGACACAGGTCCAAAGCCAAACTCAAAACTACTTTTGCACCTAAGTGTTCTGAAGGGTATGAAGGGGCCCAGTGGTCTGTCTTCAGTGTCTACTTCACCAGGGATCATGACCTGCAAGGCTCAGGGTGTACAGCAAATTCACTGTCAACAATCTCTAGGCAGGAAGACAAAAAGGTATATAAAATAGAAACTCAAGTACAGGCTTTACCACCCAGAAGGATCAAAATTCCTGGGATAGTCAGACTCACTTTGGCTGGTTATACCCAGATGTACTGGATTCAGGACAAGGCAAATTCCATGTTTCATTAACAGTTAATCTGCTAGGGTCAGACTCAACCCCGAAACTAAACTAACTACACCACAACGTTCACTGTACATGTCAGCCACTTCCTTTCTTGCTCTACCCCTCATTTTCAGCCTTTCTGGACCTGTATGCTCTCAGGAAGCCAAAATAGCAAAAAGCATGGTAGAAAAAAAAAAAGGAACCAGTTTTCATTTCTTGGCACCTGTTGCTCTCTTTATCCTAGAGGCTAAATGGGCTAAAAAAATGATAGCCCAGTTCTCTCTGCCTTCCAGTGAACACTGGAAGTTCTCCCATTGGCAATTAAATGCAGTGAGCAGTTCCAAAGTGACTTGGGATGAGTATCACCCCAATGCAGGATACAAGTGCCTCTGACCCACGTAGACCAGTTCTGTTGAGGAGGCTGACTCCGGCATCAGACGTGCAGAACTGGGAGGAAAGTGCCTCGCCCTTGTTGGTACCACTGGCCTAATAGTTTCTCAAGGCTCAGAGGCTCAACCCTGGACAGTTGGTGAAGAGATAAAAGTAACTGTCTTGCACAGGTCTTCAGCACTGGAATAGTTCAGCAGGTCCACACAAGGTTCACCTTAAAGCAGCATCTTTCAGGGTGCTGGAGGCAGGCGCTGTGACAGAAGGCAGTGAGCAAGGGTCAAAGCTTTGTCTGGTAACCATCACAACCAAACCCACAGACTAAATCAACTTATTCCTGAGAACTGATTTCAAAGTAACTCTCATCAGGGTAAAAAAGTTCATATACCAGAACATGTGCTTTGGCAGCTACATTGTTAACAGAATACTGACTCTAAAATGAGGTTTATCTGGCCACTCAGTGAATGGCTCTGGCTGGCAGGCTCTGTGAGTCGAGTCTCCTTTCCCTTACCCCTAAGTCATCAATGACAGCACCTACTTCAGTAGGCCATTGTAAGGATAAGTAAGATAATCTGCATAAATCACTTAAGACATAATACGTGCTCAATCACATAGTTTGGCTCTTAGCATTTATCATACATGGGAACAGAAAGGGAATGCAGAGAGAAGGAACAGGTAAATCATTAGGGTATCAGAATTGAAGGGAAGACTTCCATGACTATTCTGACAATATCATTTTAGATCTTGGACATTTTGTACATGTGTGGAAGATACCACAGACAATTGAACTCTGCAGCTTAGGAAAAAGGAAGCAAGGTAGACACTTGGCATTGTTTACCAAGTCTATCATTATTCTCAATTTGACATTTGGGAAACTGAAAATTCAGTAAAGGGAAGAAGCTGGAGGACATAGGAAGGGAGGAAGATGAAGGGGTTAACAGTAAAAAAAAAAATGCAAAAGCTCCCTGCACCCCAGCGTTCAGAGCTCCAAGGCAGGGCAGAATGTAGGTGACCACTGTCCTGATTAGGAGCTCCTTCAACAATGAGCCTACTTGCTAGGGCTTGCTGCAAGGCTGCAATGAGGTTCACTGCTATAGTGACAGTTAGATTGGCCACTTTCCTGCCTGCCAAGTGTCCCACTGTAGTCAGGAGACAGAGAGGAGAGACAGCTTGTGATGAAGAGCAAGAAGTGCATGCTTAGGACTCTACTGCAAGTCATAACTTGGTCCTCCCTTTCCCCTATGGTGTTCCAGCTGTCAGAAAGCACAATGGTTGTCCATGTCCAGCAAGGACACAGGTAGTGAACACTAATTAGTGCACAATCTGCTTTCACAGACCTAACAGTAATTTCACTAGTATTTATAACCCTTAATTTTAAATTCATTCTACCCACAAATATTAAGTAACCTTAAAATACTTAAAAAGATTGTTTTTTAAAAAGCTAAGTATAAGCCGGGTACCAGTGGCTCACGCCTATAATCCTAGCTACTCAAGAGGCTGAGATCTGAAGATCATGGTTGAAAGCCAGCCCTGACAGGAAAGTCCACGAGACTTTTTATTTCCATCGAATTACCAAAAGGATAAAAGTGATCTGTGGCTCAAGTGGTGCACTAGTCTGGAGCATTAAAGTGCCCAGGCCCTGAGTTCAAACCCCAGGACTGGCAAAGGGGTTCATGCATGTACACACACAGACACACAGACACACACACCTCCACAGACACACACACACACACACCTCCCTCCCTCCCTCCCTCCCTCTATAACCCCAGTCCTCCAGGGACTGCAAGACTGTCTCAGGAGAGAAAAAAGTTACACAATTCTTCAATTATCAACAACTACAGAGAAAGTGTTCACATTTTCCAATTTGCCTCATAAATGTTCCCAAAGCCTGAGGTTTTTTTTAGCTCTATTAATTCCATTACTGCAACCATCTGACCAAGTTTCTCACTAAACTAGATGAGAAAATGAAAGCCCACAGAGGTCAGATGATCTTCCCAGATCACAGAGCCTACTGAAAACAGATGGCCTGATTTACAAGCCAGTGCTCTTTCCTCAGTGTCACACTCTCTGGCAATGTGAATATGAAAGTGATTATTGAATGCTTTGAATCTCCCTCAGAGATTCATCAATACCCATTGTATACACATAAGAAATAATATAGCTTTAACCCCATTAGGTAGAAGGTCAGAATGCAGCTTTTGTCCTGTACTTCAATTTAGTATGGGAAATGAGGGACCTCAATGACCTACTCATTCCAAAGCTAACCAGCTCCCCCAGGTCACAGCCTGCTGAGTACCCTACAGAGGGAAGCAACATGTAGCAAGGATCTATATTCTAGTTATGTACAAAGATGGAATCAGTAAAGGTGAAGATGGTCTACGAACAGGCCCAATGATTTTGCAGGTCACTTTCTTAAAGCACTTAAGGAAGGGGCCGTTTCTGTACTACTCAGTGTTTTTCTGTTTGTTTTTTATTGGTCATGGGGCTTGAACTCAAGGCTTGGGCACTATCCCTGAGCTTTTTCACTCAAGGCTAGTGGTCTATCACATTGAGCCACAGCTCTAGTTCCAGTTTTCTAGTGATTAATTTGGAGATAAGAGTCTCATGGGCTTTTCTGCCTGGGCTGACCGTGATCCTTAGATCTGTCTCCTGAGTAGCTAGAATTACAGGTGTGAGCCACTGGCACCCAGCTTTGCTTAAGTGTTTTAAGAGGCTGAAAAGAAACATTAAATACTTCCCATATCATTCTACAAGGGCAGACTCACCTCTTTTAGACAAAGGATAGCACATACATACAAAAGTGGTAGGTGATAATAAGTAATAGCAAGTCTAAATAATTATAAATTTCAGGTCAAACTCACTAATCACTCACTAATAGAAGCCAAAATTTCACATAGAATAAAATCCAACCAAAAGAATAGGAAAATGTTTTTCTTTCTAAATACATATGGCTTCTTCTTTTTTTATTTTATTTTTTTGTGTGTGTCTTTTTTTTTTCCATTTTGTGATTTTTTTTGGTCAGTCATGGGGCTTGAACTTGGGGCCTGGGTGTTGTCCCTGAGCTCTTTTGCTCCCAGCCTCCTATGGAGCTAGTATTACAGGTGTGAGCCACCAGTGCCTGCCTTTTGTGTTGTTTTAGATAGTCTTATTTTTTCTGTAATGCACAATAAAATTAATGAGAGGATATACAAAAGGAAAAGAATAGAAAACAGTTCCATGAGGACACCTATAATTATAGCTCCAGTAGGCTGAAGCAGAAGGATCATGGTGAGAGAATAGCCTGGGTAAAGTTGGTAAGATCCTATCTCAGAAACAAAAACAAAACAGAAAAAAAGGTTGGGAATGTAGCCCAAGTGGTAGAACTCTTGCTTGGCAAGAGTGAGGCCCTGGGTTCAATCCCCAGAATCACAAAAACAAGACAAAACAACCCTGCCCCCAAGCCCAGCACCTCCCCCACCCCAATCTCCACAATTGACAAAGGTATAGGAAAACACAAAATCTCATCAATGTGGCTACAACTGGAAATAAGCAAAACTTTTTTTTTTTTTTTTTGGTCCTGGGCTTGAACTCAGGGCGGGCTTGGGTGCTGTCCATGAGCCTTTTCACTCAAGGCTAGCACTCTACCACTTTGAGCCACAGCTCCACTTCCAGTTTTCCAGTGGCTAATTGGAGATGAGTCTTTCCTGCCCCAGCTGGCTTTGAACCATATCCTCAGATCTCAGCCTCTCAAGAACTAGGATTATAGGTACGAGCCACTGGTGCCCAGCAAGCAAAACATTTTGAAGGGTAATTAGTCAGCAGATGACTAGATGTGAGATGTATTCTACATCTCTACTCACTGGTTTCCAGCTTTGAGAAATACTCCTAGAAGAACCATGAGCAAAGGTATTTACAAATACAAAACAAAACAAGACATACTCTAACATTCTATGTAGCAGGAGGCAGTGAGATACATGTTTCACACACCCACACAGTGAAATACCAGTCAACCTCTGGAATGATGTGGAAAGGTCTCGAAGCAACCAATAGGAACACATTACAAATGACCTATAAAACAAAGTCTATATACAAAATAATCCATACTCTATGATCCTCTTTTTGTTCAAAATAAATAAAATTATATAAGAAAAAGGCTGGCCAGGCGCCGGTGGCTCACGCCTGTAATCCTAGCTACTCAGGAGGTTGAGATCTGAGGATCATGGTTCAAAGCTAGCCAGGGCAGGAAAGACCATGAGACTCCTATCTCCAATAAACCACCAGAAAACCGGAAGTGGCTCTGTAGCTCAAGTGGTAGAGCCCTAGCCTTGAGCTGAAATGCTGAGGGACAGCACCCAACCCAGAGTTCAAGCCCCACAACCAACCAAAAAAAAAAAAAGAAAGAAAGAAAGAAAAAGGCTGGAAGTCATATTAAGCAATTACAGTACGATAATTATAATCTGTAGGATAGCACTATGGTCACTTCATAAATAATGCTATTTCTATAGTGTCTGAATAGACACAACTTTGTGTGAAATTGAAAAAAAAGAAGTAAGATAAAGAAATAAAAGCACTTCTACATCTGTGCAAACAAAGGTACTATGATTCCAAGAATGTCAGGCACTGATCTCTCCTTAGACCCAGAAGGACTGGCAAAAAGGCTCAGGAGGGCTGGGAAGATGGCTCAGTGGTAGAGTGCTTGCCTTGCATGCATGAGGCCCTGGGTTCGATTCCTCAGTACCACATAAGCAGAAAAAGCTGGAAGTGGCGCTGTGGCTCAAGTGGTAGAGCTCTAGCCTTGAGCTGAAGAGCTGAGGGAGAGTGCCCAGGTCAGAGTTCAAGCTCCACCACCACCACCAACAAAGGCTCAGGAACTGGAGCCTGCTGCTACATGACCCGTGCATTGCACCTTGTCCACACACACAAAGGAAGACATGGCTTAACAGTGCATACTGGAGAAAAGCACATGGAGTACTGGACTAGAACCATTTTTGTGTTGTTGTTGTTTAAATTTAACCTCCAATCTTTGGGTTGCTCCTCAGACTACCATTTTAAGATCAGAAATATTTTACTTGAATAGGTCACAATGGTAATTAGATAGATTATCTAAGAAGAACTGACTTCTTGAGTAAGAGCTATGAAAACCTAGCTGTGCACTAAAATGACAGCAATAAATGGTACATCTAGGAAGGTGTAGCATTGAAAAATGATTAGTGAAGCAGAATACTAGCCAAGTAGCTTACAACTTGTGAATGATTAAAAACAAGAAGTGAGAGAAAGAGAACAAGAGTGAAAGTACACAGAAACATTACATATTAGCCACAGCTACTCTAAAGTATTTACTTCTAATCCTCACAACAGTCAGGGAATGTCACAAAAAAAGGAGACTCAAAGAGGTCCATGACTTGCTCAAAGTGATAAATCCAAAAGTCTGGGTTTGAATATGGCCTAGTGCAGTGGTACCTATTCTGGTCAACTGGTTGGCCAGCTCCAACTTTCCTAGTATTGGAGCCCATGCTGTGTTTCTCCAAACAGACTCACCTGTGAGCTAGAGGGTAACACCTGGGAGGCGGGCTCCTCAGACAGGGCTGCTCCTGAGGCCATGGGGCTCAGCGTTGTGATTCTGCTTGGCTGGCCACGGAGGGTCAGAGTAATGGTGGTGGGGACCTTCAAGCCTGAGAGAGAAAGAGGGGGGGGGGTAGAGGTGGGAGAGCGGGGGTTCTTGGTTATAGCCTTCAGTTTCTGCTAAGGCTTTCCTTTCCTGAATTTGTTTTTGTTTGTTTTTGAAAGGCAACAGGAAACAACAGTTTGTGGTCTTTTGACCTTTCTGGGCAATGAAGACCCTGTGGGCTGGGTTCAGACCTTGACTTCATGATACTGGAAGGTACTAGGGAAGACCCAATCTTGGAATCCCCACAATTCTCATGAGACTCACCTGATGCCTGGTTAGAGATTTGAGCCAGGCCAGGGAGGCTGCTTGCCAACTTAGCAAGGCCCCCATTGGTCAGCAACTGGTGGATGGCTGTAGGCTTCCCACCAGGAGCGGCACCCAACGAGGAGAGAGTGGTGGCCACAGGAATGGTACGAACAATGGTATTGGTGCCCGTGGTGATGGCACTCAAGCTCTGCATCGGGGTGGGCAACTTCACACTGGTGGCCTGTTGGACACACAAGCCCAGGTGATCAGAAGCTAGCACCCAACAGCAGAATTCAAGCCTGGAGAGCCCACAGCATATTATTAAAGGCTAACACATACTAAGTGTCTATTACATGCAAGGTAACCCTTCCAGGCATTTTGCAAACATTTTCTTTAACTCTCATTTCACAGACAAGGCAACAAGACAGAAAGGTCAAGAAGCTTGCCTAATGTCACACAGTAAGTGATGAGCCATAACTATTGTTAGCTCATCAGCTAGGGAGCTGGAAAGGCTGTTTGTCCTTGACCCCACTTAACTCTTGACCCAGTCTCCTTGCCAAAAGCAATTAGGCGGAGGAGACCTATTCCCTGTACCTGCCTGCCCAGTGTAAGGGAGATGTGTACCTGTGGGGCTGGCCCCGGGGAGGGATTTGCTGGGAGGCCAGAGGTCTTGCTGCTAATATCCTGCAAGCTGAAGCTGAGGCCCTGGAGGAGGCTACTGGCTGATGTGGCCCCTAAGACAGAACATAGCAGTTATCAGCACTAGTCAATCATTTGCAAATACTCATAAGCATCCACACTGCCCACCATCACCAATACTGGACTCAATCCAAGGCCCTCACCTTCTCTACCTTCAAAAAGACACCAAGAGTGTCTCCCCCAGCATGCACAGTAGTGCCAGATTCTGCCTTGGATTTTCCCTGTATACCCAACCTGTTGCAAACTACAAGTCCTGCATTTTGGACAATATCAGAAAAAAACCAACAGCTCACTTTTTAGAAACTTAAATTTTCCCCATACTCCTTTAATTCCAGGGAAAAGGAGGAACTGTTTAAGACAAATGGGATTTCCTCACACAGCACCATATCCTCAAGGCAAAGAGAAAGGAGAGGGGCAGCTGCTACATTCCAGCCCACTGGGCTCAGGCAATTAGCTTTTCTGTGCAGAGTGGGGTTAGAGAAAGTAAGGGACAAGAATAGTCAGAAAAACATCTTGGTGTGCTAATTAGCCCTGCTTTCAATTTTATTCAATCAGACATGTTTAAAACATCAAAATAATCCAAGAACCAGTGGCTCACACCTGTAATCCTAGCTACTCAGGATGCTGAACTCTGAGGATAGCGGTTCAAAGCTAGCCAGGGTAGGAATGGACATGAGACTCTTAGCTCCAATTAACCCAAAGTAAAAAGCCAGAAGTGAAGAGATGGCTTAAGTGATAGAGTACCAACCTTGAGAAAAAAAACTAAGGGATAGCACACTGGCCCTGAGTTCAAGCCCCAATACTGGCAACAAAAAGACAAAAACATCAAAATGAAACATAGAATAACATTGTCCAAAAAGGAATGTATTCATTACCTGCAGTATGAATTGTAACCCCTTTGTATATCACTTTTTTTTTGGTCGGTCACGGGGCTTGAACTCTGGGCCTGGGCACTGTCCCTGAGCTCTTCAGCTCAAGGCGAGCGCTCTACTGCTTGAGCCACAGCGCCACTTCTGGTTTTCTAGTGGTTTATTGGAGATAAGAGTCTCATGGATATTTCTGCCCGGGCTGGCTTTGAACCGAGATCCTCAGATCTCAGCCTACTGAGTAGCTAGGATTACAGGTGTGAGCCACCAGCGCCTGGCTTAACACCTTTATAATAACAATGTAAACATCTTTTGAAAAGGAAATAAAGAAACATGTGCTTTACTCATTAGTATTTCCCACTTTTACAGCAGAGTATACAGCTCTTGCACATTTGGACATTTATATATTATGGGTGTTAAGTCTATGGAATTCCCCTCACTCAAGCGAATTCCAGCTTTCTGGCATCCTCTAGGACCACAGTGAGGCCCAGAGGCACAACCTCCAAGAATGCTCATCAAAGACCACTCTCTGGCAGCAGGCCAAAAAGAGTTTGCCAGTAGGGGGAACAATAGACTCTAAGATACCTGGGAGGTTGCTGCCAGGAGATGTGGCCACCAAGCGGCTTTGGAGAGTATGCAGGGCACTGGGTGTGGTGCTGCTGGAGGCCACTGAGGGGGCTGGGCTGGCTGAAACTCCACCTTCAGAAGTTGACCTGGAAACAAAGGAACTCTGTTATCCCAAGGTCAGAAGGCAGCAGACCCCAGTAACACAGGGAATGGCCAGAGTAAGGACAGCAAGGCTGGACACACACTAGAACGTGCAATTTCTTAAGTTCGCTTTTCTGAATTCTACTTCTGTTCTCTTAAAAGGACTTACAGTCAGAAAGAAGTCATACCCCATAATTGATAAGATTCCAGAATCTACTGTCTTCCTGAAGCACTAAATGAAAAGGGATAAAGGAAAGAAGGAACTAGAGACAGACAAAGGAGCACTTACTTGGCAGTGGTGAGAAGCCCAGTGAGCTCCTTAGCCCCTGCTGAGGCTTGCCCCAGTGTCATGGTGATGGGCTTTCCTCCTGTAGCTGCAAAAGAGAAAATCCCAAGGCCACTGGTCAGTCCTACTTAGCCCATACCATTCTGAGTTCCACAACTCAAGCTAAATATAAGATATTATAGGCAGGGGCTGGGAAGGTAGCTCAGTGGTAGAGTGCATGTCTTGCAAGCATGAGGCCCTGGGTTCGATTCCTCAGCACCACATAAACAGAAAAAGCCGGAAGTGGCGCTGTGGCTCCAGTGGTAGAGCACTAGCCTTGAGCTGAAGAGCTGAGGGACAGCGCCCAGGCCCAGAGTTCAGGCCCCATGACCGGCAAAAAAAAAAAAAAGATATTATAGGCAAAGGGGCTGGGAAGGTGGCTCAGTGGTAGAGCGCTTGCCTTGCATGCCTGAGGCCCTGGGTTCAATTCCTCAGCACCACATAAGCAAAAAGAAAAAAGCCTGAAGTGGCACTGTGGCTCAAGTGGTAGAGCGCTAGTCTTGAGCTGAAGAGCTGAGGGACAGTGCCCAGGCCCAGAGTTCAGGCCCCATGAGCGGACCCCCCCCCCTCAAAAAAAAGGTATTATAGGCAAAGATTGGACAATGAAAAAAGGAAGCTTTGTTAGAAAAGGGAAAGTGTTGGATCATTTTTTCTTTTATTTTCTAAGTTTTCAAGATTATCTTTCATAAAATTAAAAAGGAAGAAAATGTATGGTACTCTGAATGGCCCTACAGTTCCCGCCAGACTCTGCCTCCCCAGTCCTTATTTAAGCAAGATCACCGCCCACTTACTCAGCAGGTGTAACCTCATGCCTTTTCTGCTCCAGGCTTCTCATTCTGAAGCAGGGGCTGAGCTGCCCACCTGGTAAGTAGCCTCCAAGGGGATCTGTATGTACCTACAAGAACTGGGCAACTCTTATTAAACAGACCCTGAGCAACTCACCTTCTGAAACTCCTCCTTGGGAAGGAGCACAAGGTCCCCCAGTCGAGTCCCCTTGGGAGATAAGGGACACCTTGATCTTCGGTCTCTTGGAAGTCTTACTGCTAGGAAGAGGACTGGAGGGATGGTGTCGTTTCAGCTGGACCCTAAGCTCTTCTTTCTCTGCCTCTTCCACTGGTTCTGATGAAATGGGAACTAAGAGATGGAGCTGAGGTGAAATCTCCACAAGCCAAAACAGGGCCCAGTGGATTCTGCCAGCCAATATCAGCAAAGACCAGCCATTTGGGAACAGGAGAGCCACCCTACAAGTAGGACCCTATTTCACAATTCTACCTCAGACTCCACCAGGCTCTTCTCAGAGGATATCTCCTTGTCCATCTAGAACCCTTCCCTAGTGGTAGATGGGAAGGGGCTTTGGAGGACAGAAGACACTCTGGGCCTGCCAGTACCACCAAACAGAGGACTCACCACAGTGGCTATAAACAGCCCTTCCCAAACTCAAGGAATGTGATCATATTACTGTTGCTGGCTCTCCTTACTATCACTCCACAGGCAGGAGGTAGGAAATTTCTGCAGGAACTCAGGGAGCAGCAGGCTACCTAGTCCTCTGCAAACAGGAGTTTCCATAGGACTCCTCGGAGCGCTTCCATTCTTTTTTTTTTGGTTGGTTGTGGGGCTTGAACTCTGGGCCTGGGCATTGTCCCTGAGCTCTGCTGCTCAAGGCCAGTGCTCTACCACTTGAGCCGCAGCGACAATTCCAGCGTTTTTTCTTTTTGCTTATGTGGTGCTGGGGAATCGAACCCAGGGCCTCATGCATGCAAGGCAAGCGCTCTACCACTGAGCCACCTTCCCAGCCCCAGCGCTTCCATTCTTAAGAGCCCAAGGTTGAGGGTCGGCTTGCCAAATGGAGGCAAAGAGAAAGACTATTACCAGAACTTTAAGCTGACTCTGGGTAGCGATTAGGTGAGGGACCACTGAAGCACAGGCAGCCTCACAACTCCTGCCCAAAGGTAACAGGGCAGCAGCAGGCTATATTACAACTTAGTACTTATGTCATCTTAGTACCCATGATAGAGAAAGGTCATTTTTCACATAGGAGCCTCCATTTCCATTGACTCAAACAGACTCACTGTGCACAGAATAAAGCCTTTTGGACTGAAGTTATATCCCTTAGATTTCCTCACAGGTTCCTTCTTTGTTTTTTTGTTGCTATTGGCATTGAGGACTGAACCCAGGGCTTTGCATATGCTAGACTCTTACAGGCTGAGTCACATACCCAGCCCTTTTGTCTGTATTTTGTTTTTATTTCTTTTTTTTTTTTTAATCAGTCATGGGGCTTGAACTTAGGGCTTTGGCCTTGTCCCTGAGCTTTTTTTGCTCAAGGCTAGTCCTCTACCACTTAGAGCCACAGCTCCACTTCTGGTTTTCTGGTGGTTAATTGGAAATAAGAGTCTCATGGACTTTCCTGCCTGGGCTAGCTTTGAACCACAATCCTCAGATTTCAGCATCCTGAGTAGATAGGATTACAAGTGTGAACCACCAGTGCCCAGCTATATTTTGTTTTTGAGATAAGGTTTCAGTAACTTTGCTGGGGCTAGTCTCTAACTCATGATTCTCATGCCTCTGCTCCCAAGTAACTGGAATTACTGGCTGGCCAGGTTTCCTCCTTTTTAAACCTAGAAGTCATCTTTAGTACTCTTATCACAAAGTAGTTCTGGGGCAGGAAGGAAGGCAGCAATCCAATGAGGAAGGAGGGAGGGGCAGTATTCTGACATGGAGCCACAATTAAGGCATCACTAGCTAGGAAATCACTGCTTAGGAAATAAATCAAAAGAGGAAGGCATATGGCTGCTAAGTAGCTGGTATGCTTGCAGCAGCCAGGATGGAAACAAGAACTCGGAGTAGAGAAACAGACAAGGAAACTCAGGCTCATTCACAGGCAATGGGCATACAAAGGAAAAGTGAAATCAAGAAGCACAGTAAAAGAACCACAATAAGAAAGAAAAAAAAAGAAAAACACCATGAGAAATTGAAAAAATGAATAAATAAGCAAAGGAAATTAAAAAAAAAAGAAACAGGTAACAGAAGAAGAGAAAAAATAGGAAGAAAGTAGACACTGAAGAATGATGAGGGGGAAATAAAGCGGAGGGGGTAAAAAGCAGTAAGTCCAAGACAAGTAGGTGAGAAAAAGAGTGATACTCACCAAAGAGACAGGAGGAGGTGCCGGGAGGAAGAGCTTTCCTCACCAGCATGTTTTGTTTCAGAAAAGCAGCAAACTGTGCTGGAATGAATCAGAAAGAATTACAGAATCATGGCCAGCCAGAGAAAGGAGAAGAGTGGGAAAAAGAAAAAGAAGAAAATGGTCTAAAGGAGCTCCTTCTGAGGTCACTGAGCTTGAAACCTGACTCTGCCATGTAGCAGTTCCACGGAATCATCTACAAACTAAAGGTCATTGTCATGATTCAACCATCGAGGGCAAGTGAAGTGCAAGAGGGCATGGCACTTGATAAGGGCTCTGTTTATGTTAACTATCACTCCCTGCTTACCCATATCTGCTAAAGACATGTGATATAGCTGCTGCTGACCCCATGACACTCTGGGAACCATTTTGACCCAGTTTATCACAGCCTTCCAGAGCTCAAGAGATTCTCCTTTAATCACTAGCTATCTTCAATCATCTAAGGGGACACCATTCACCCAGAACGTGGCTCTGACCACTCCTCATTCATGGAAGCCCGAAGAGCCAGGCTTCTTTGCTCCTTTTAGTACCACTCTTATGAGAAAACTCTTAAGAGGCCTGGGTTTAAGTTCTACCATTCTGGCTCCACTAAAAGTCACAGGAGAGGTGAGTAGATCATCTTTCTCAACCCTTAACATCCTCTATTTCACAGTCAGCAAGGGCTGTGCCTCTTCCTAGGCACTGGAATTCTAAGAACTTTAGATGATACATGGTCATAGACATATCATCAATATCACTGTAAGAGGCCCTAGCTCAAGGTTACCCACCTCAGTTACTCTGTGTGTGTGTGTGTGTGTGTACACTTCAAGTGCACTTCTTTCTTGATCCCTTCTCTATAGATTTCCATATTGCACTATTAGTGCCCCGAATATCTATCATACATGCTTCCCTAAAACCTAACTATAAAACCTTGATCAACTTTGTGAAAGGTTTCAGTGTGGAAATCCTAACTATTCAAGGGCAAAACAAAGAAAGGGCATGACGCCAGGTGAGCTGTCTCAGAATCTGATGAATAAAATTAGTCATGCTGTCTGCATGACTTAGAAAGCTCCCTGACTGCATGAGTGGCTAGGAGTGCCTGGAGCAAAAGACATAGCTTCCCTAGAAAAAAGCTGGGTCAATACACACACAGTCAGCTTATAAACCCAACCTCTCTAATATACCAACACAAAGCTGTAACTAGTGACCACAAAGCCCCACTAACGTACATTCATTTCAGTCTAATTTTGTCTAGACAGGAATGTGGGAAAGGGTGTCTCTCATATCCACCAGAAAAAAGCTGCAGATCTAATACTTTCCAGCTACCACATTACATCAGCTTCAGAAGATGGAACCGTAGAACCCCAGTGGGACTGCTAGGCCAGAAGCTTATACCTTGGGCTTGTTTGTGGGTCATCACAGCTTCTGTCCGCTGTACATGTCTCTTCAGCAGCTGGGAGCTCCCAATCTGACTAGATTTCTGGGCAGAGGTCACTGTGGTCACTTTGGTCTTGGGACTGGATGTGGGGCTGCTGGACACACTAGAGAGATCCTGGGTAGAATACGAAGGCCAAGAGATGAGCCAATGTTGTTTGAATTTAGACATTGGTCAGCATGTTCCCCTGGAACTCCCAAGTATCCCTAGGAAGTCAACTATGTAGTCTTCAGTACCCATGAACTGAACTACCCTGCCTGAACTACCTCTGAGCCTGAGGGTGAGGCAGGGAGCTTGGCAGCTGGAGAAGTAGGCCGACTGCCCCGTTCAGACACTTCAAAGGCCAAGTCTCTTCGGGCTATATCACGAGGCTTCTTCTTCTTCTCAGCATCCTGATCCCGAGGCTCAGAGCCCATGTGACCTTCAGTTCGAGTGAGCACTCCAGTCAGAAAGTCCACAATCTCATCCTAATGTAAAAAAGAATCCAGGTCTACGAGTCTTCTGGGGAGCAGGAATTTCCCAGATGGTTTGCAACTAAGCGAGATTCTACCTGGGCATTGGCTCCTAGATGTGCTGGTCCTTTCTCACTCACAAAGCATATACAAATCCCATGCTTCTGAATGACTGTGGTTGAAAAAGACTAGCATGTACCTCTGCTCTGTGAGGAAGCAGGTACATTCTACCCCTCCTCCGGCAAACCCTTTCTCCCAGATGCCTTGCTTATGTCTCAGGTTACCTCCCCTTTGCTCTTTTTCTCTTTTTTTCTTTTTTCTGATTATAATGTAGCCCCAGAGGGCTCAGTGGATATTCCTTCATACTCCAAAGCCAATGAGCCTGTTGCCAACAGCATGAAACCCAAAAGGCAAACACATACAGGACACCTGTTTACCTGAATACACCTGTCCACCATGCTCTGAGTCAACCCTTCTGATTTCTTCTTCGCTTTGCTTATTCTAAGAAATAAAAAAGGAGAAAAATGTTTACTTTTCTTCTTTGTGTTACTTTGTAGGCCTGGAAAGACTACATGAGTCCTAAAGCAGGTGATGTGACCTTTATGAGCCTGTTTTCATATCTGCATCGTAACACCCCATTCAGAGAGATATGGGGATTAAACAAAATGACCTATATAAAGAACCAAGGATGATGCCCAGGACTATCCACTTCAGAAGGCCTATACTTCTAACTTAACAAGTAAAGCTGACTTGGATTGCCAGGGCCACATAGAGGGATTCCATACCTTCTACCTCCCTAGTCTCCCAACTCCGAGATTACTAGATAAGTGGAAGAAGATTCAAGGGGGCCCTTTGTTAGTTCTAAAGGGGGGGGGAGGGAGGAAGGACCTCACTTAGTGGCATTCTTCTATGAAAAGCTAGCCTTAAAATTCCCTGGTTTTGGGCTGGGAAGATTGCTCAGTGGTAGAGTGCTTGCCTTGCATGCATGAAGCCCTGGCTTCGATTCCTCAGCACCACATAAGCAAAAAGAAAAAAGCCAGAAGTGGGTAGAGCGCTAGCCTTGAGCTGAAGAGCTGAGGGACAGCACCCAGGCTCTGAGTTCAGACCTCATGACCGGACCCAAAAAAAAAAAAAGAAAAGATTTTCTGAACTACCAAGAAAAGCAATGTATTTACATAAAAAACATTGCTCAGTGCATCGAAAGGCAGGCTGGCAAATGACAAGGCCAGAAGGACCAAAAAAAAAAAAAACCAGCTTAGGAGCAAGTACTTAGTTTTCTAGTGTGTAACTGAAAATTAATCTCTAAGGCGGAATATATAGAAAAAGGAAGCCAAATAGATAATACAACCTCTTTTTTTTTTTTTGGGGGGTCCGGTCATGGGGCCTGAACTCTGTCCCTCAGCTCTTCAGCTCAAGGCTAGTGCTCTACTACTTGAGCCACAGCACCACTTCCGGCTTTATTCTTTTTGCTTATGTGGTGCTGAGGAATCGAACCCAGGACCTCATGCATGCAAGGCAAGCACTCTATCACTGAGCCACCTTCCCAGCCCCTACAACCTCTTTTTCAGTACATTAGATGAGAATGTAACTATAGACCAGTTGTAGAGGCCCACACCTAAACTCTTAGCTATTCAGGAATTAGAGATCAGAAAGCTTACAGTTTCAAGTCAGCCTGAGCAAAAATTAACAAGATCATCACTTCAGTCAGCAGCTGGGCATAGTAACACATGCCAGTCCCCCTAGGTACACAGAGGCCATAGGTCTATGACAGTTCAGGCATAAATGTGAGACTCCATTTGAATAACTAAAGCCAAAAAGGCTGGGGGGAAAGCATGGCTCAAGTGGCAGAATACCTGTTTAGCAAGCAACAGTCCAAGTTTGAACATGATTACTGCCCCCAAAACATGGAACTACAACCTTACATGCTTCATCACTACAAGGAAAGTCTGTCTCAATGACCAGTCATCTTCCTAAAACCTCTCTCAAACTTTGCCTGTATTTATACTCTGAAGTTTCTCAAATATGACTTAAAACAAGTAACATCTATGTTCACATTCCACCTCAGTTAAGGCATAAATATTTTTAAATGCCTACTCTAGTCAAAGTCTATAGCAAATAAAGTATTTATAGAGCCTCAAGTTTCTTCTTCCCACAAGTTAACTAATTGCAATGGAAAAAACAGAAATTTCATACTGGAGAACCTGGCAGAAGCTACCTTAATCATGTGACTAAGGTTATTATCAGTAGTATTAAGATGAATCAGTATCATATATCCCCTGAAGGGATGCACTGAAATGGGTAATCATTTATGGACATTGTTGCCAAAAATGCACATCTTCAACATAATCAAAAGAAAATGTAAAAATACGTAAACTGAGGGGCAATCTACAAAATAGTTGGCTAGTAATCTTCAAAAATATCAAAGTCATGAAAGACAAAGACTGAGGAACTACATCAAATTCACAGACTGAGGCTCGACAATTAAAAATGCAACTAATGTGTTCTTGAACTAGAACCTATACCAGAAAAATAACAATCAGAAGACAACAGCAAATTAGATAATGCTATCATACTAATGTTAATTTTCAGATTTTGCTAACTGAGCCAGATTAGTCTATAGTTCCACTGCTACCTAACGGGCATTCTTCTACATTGTAACTTGCTCCCTGTAGCTCTGGGGAAGCCTACTTACCTGAGATTATCATCAGCTCCTCCAACTACCACCAAGCTGTTTTCAGCTCGGATCTTCTCCCGGAAGTCCTCCATGGCTTCAGGGTGACACTGTAGGGAATTCTGACCAATCACAAAGAGGACTGGAGTCTTCATATCCAAGAGGGGATCATCTATATCCTAAAACAAGTACAGGTTTCAGATTTGGCCAGTTCATACTCAGGAAGCACTGACCTTGAAAGTTTGGGGATGTTTCAAGAAGTAGGTTATGTACCAGCTGGGTTCCTCACCCCAACTTGGATGAGACATGCACTCCTATTGTCCCCCAATCCCACTGCTGATGACCCAGCAACCAACTTCACCTCACTCTTACCCCCCGGGGACCATCCACGGTAAGCAGAGGAAACCCAAGGCAGATGACTGCAGTGACATACTCCATTACCGATACCTGTAAATAAGGACACTATATGTTTGAAGGGCAAGTGACTTCATTGCACCTCCCCTACCCAGGATCAAAGAGTAGCCCAGACCCATCATGCAGTCCCATCTTTTCCTCCCTTCTTCTAACCCCCAGCTGCATAAGCCATGGTGATAGCAGTAAAAATACAGAATATAAGGTGTGCTATCCCACAAGCAGCTACTACTTAAGAGAACTAGGGTTCTGAAAGGACCCCAGGTCACATCTGTACCAAAGGATGGGAAGTATAATACTTCAACCCTGTCAATCCTCAAGACCAGAGCTTTCTTGCTTTATTTTTCTCCACTAGGTGCGCATACAATAAAAAGACTACAAATGTTGGGCTTGGGTTGTGGGCTCAGTGACAGCTAAATGACACTTGACTAACATGCATAAGGCCCTGGGTTCCATCAGTGGAGAGGAGGAGAAGGGAAGGAAAGAGGGAGAGAGGAAGGGAAGGAGGAAAGGAGGAAGGGAGAGAGGGAGGGAGGGAAGGAGAAAGAAACACTAATAGTGCTCTTCTCTTGTAAGAAAAGTCTCTTCCATTGGGCTTAGGAGCTAGCTCTCACACATCCCAGATTTCTCAAAGCAGTCAGCTACTGACTAAGGATGGAGTTCTGTTGCTGTCCTTGGGAAGAAGGAATATGGGTAGGTGCTGTCTTTCTCTTGTTGTTCTAGGGCTCATACTAAACTAGACTGAGAAGAATGGAGGCTTGGACATTTCAGAAACACACAAACTAGCAGGTATATGAATAAATGTAAGATAATAAAATAAAAGGTTCTTTGGTATCTTATAAAGGGATCAAACATGAGCATGTAAAATTTGAGAGCTAATAATTTGGGCCTAATAGAATTATTCATTTTTTAGGTGGGGAAATCATATGGTACTTGTTTAAAGAAATCTTACATACTGAAACATATATAAATGAAATATACTTGATACTGTCTTCAAAATAACCTGGATAT